TGCATTCTGCTTTTGAATTTCCTTTTGAATAATTACGGTGTGTTTTGCTTACCTAATTAATTGGAATTCTTCAAAATGTATGATTTTGATGATGTTATTTATTTATTTATTTGAATTTATTATAATTTTTAAAATTATGTCTATGCCTGTTATATTTGCTAATACAAATCTCAATGTTAACAAAGAATAGCATAAACAGTCAGGAGATTTATAAGTTCTTCTGTAAGGTCTTGTAAAACGTCTTTTATAATAAAATAATTATAAATGTATGCGTATTTTGAGGTCAGTTTTCAAGGATTATTTGAAAGTTGAATGAAGTGCCTGTGCCTCACACAAGCCCATGCTGACCGGGTCATCTCTGAGTGCGACTGCTGCTCCTCCACATATTTTCACATATCGCTAAATGGTCATAATTGATGCATCTGTCTGTCAGCTGGCAGCATATGATTGGTCTAAAACAGTCCTGGCAGGAGACTGCAATGAGGAGGGGTATGTCTCCCTGGCTTCTTATATCTATGATTTTGAGGTCTGGATGTCTCAGGTCCCACCGCTGTGTGGTACTCAACAGACAGACCCCCTTTGGCAGAGGCTCACCTATGGAACAGGCACATACTACTATTTACAGAATGGCAACATCACTTACAAAATATTCTACAAAAGCATAACTACAAACAAATGGGACACTGTTCATGAAAAAATGGGGTGCTTACCCTTACCCTATTCACTTAGCAACATTTTTAATTGCTAAAACTGCCAATTTATTGCACAGTTGATGAACAGTTACAGATAATTTGATCCTATGCAAAGACACAAGCAACTTTTTCATAAATACAGCTTAAACCTACTTAAACCTGTTAAGTGGTGGTCTATTGGCTGCAATGAAGATATTTCTTTCCATCCCTATTTTCATACTGACTGAAAATATGTTTTAGTTTTATTTTTCATTTTATTTTTCCCAGTCCTTGTAAAGAGCATTAGGTCTGACAGGATATTTAAGGCCGTGTGGTTGTGGACAGGGTGAACAGTAACCAGAGCGCCCTTGCAGTGTGGGCTGGGGTCACTGGGGACGGGGCTCTGCTCTGACCCATCGCTGAGCAGTCGACTGGGAGGTCTTATCTCATTTACTGTCAGGAACTATAGAGAGTATTGATGATTATGTCGCAGTTACATAATTTATCATACTGTTGTGTTTTATTAGTCATGGTTTTGTGTTGAATGTGATCTGGCTAGACATAATTACCAACTATTTATGAAAAACTTTTGTATTCTTATCAATAAGATCTTGTTAATATTATCAATAATAATTGCTTCCATTTGTCTAATTGAAACAGTTGAATTTTTTTGTTTTCTTTAAAATTAGACCATTCTAATGTTACATCATGACAGATTGTGTTTTTTCTCTCTAAAATGTATTTGTTGATCTGGATTGTCTTAGCTTATTTTTGTCAATTCTATATATTTTATAGATTATATGGTGTTGTCATATATGGAAACCAATCTACTTCTATGTCACAGAGGCACCACCAGCAGCACTGTTAAAGCTTTTAAAAACAGGATAAACTCTGTTCAAGCCAATAACATGAACATTTCCCAGCATACCTCTACAGTCATTACGTGCAAAGTGGATTAGACTTTAAGAGCATTCAAGTACTTTTTAGCCTTGCAGTGTGTATTTGTATGCGGAGGCGGTACATCTCATATTAGTCAGCTTTGGGCCGCGTCTCAAATGTCTGTTTGCCTGACGTGTGATCCATAAATATTTGAAGTGGAATAGACTGCGCTACGTTGTCGGACAAATCTAATTAACCCAGGACTTCCTCGGGGTTCCTCTATCTAAGACTTTATGGCTGTCTTTTCCTTCCCTGAAAGGTTCTGACTCCTTGTACAGACACTTGCCACTTAATGCATCAACTATACAAATGCTAATTCATTCATAGTTATCAAGGACATGCAGTTTTATTGAAAAATCCTCTCATAAATCTTCTAAGACTCATATAAAATATCAATCAGGTTTACATTTCATTAAAAAATGTATGAAATCATAAACTGCACTTTTTCATTTAATAGAATGTACACATTAAAACAGCGTACTTAGTTTTACATAATTTATGTGACAAGACTTGTTTTTGGTTTTGGATTGTTTTCTCTTCACTTCAGTGTAAATCTGGTGAAGCAACCAGAAATCTTTTTATCATTGTCTGTTGGTCGCTGACTGTGTCCTATCACAAAATTCTTACCCTGTTTTACCCCACCCCTGCCTTTTGGTCTAACACACAACGCAGTAGCCTGGTGCATTATAGCTTTCAGAAAACCCCAAGCCTCTGACACACAGTGCTGCAGATTCTGAGATAGTCCTTCCTTTTAGCCAGATGAGACATGAGGCCTCTTTAAAAAAAATGTGCTGGAACGGTCAATTGAGCAGACATCTTGGTTGAGGATGTAAAGAATGAAAAGCATGGATCTGATTGCTGAGGCCAGGGGTTACTGATTTCATTAGTGTGCACCACTTTATTAAAGCTGCCGCCTCAGTTTGCTTTGCACTTAGTCTGTACATTTCCATAATGCAGTGCAGGATTCTGTTTCACACGCGCTGCAACCATTTCCACTGGAGACCGCACGCTTAAGTTATTATGCTTTTTCACAATAAATATGGGGTGAAATGTGAACACGTCTTTGGTAGGGGAGGTTAGCTGTGTTCGCCCGCAGCTTGTTGATAAAGTTCAAATTTTGTCACTACAGACCTCAAAATGTGTAAAAGCGCTACATTCAAAGACAGCCAGTATTCACATGTGTGGCTAACAGCCTGTGGTTGCTGGACACACAGACACAAGCTGCTGCAGATGTTGGAGGCCAAAGCAGCTAAGGGGAATTGGATGAGACCTTGAATTAAGCATCACACACGGCGCTATAGTTCACTTCCCTTGTGCCCCTTAGAAGTGCGATTCGGTTTCACTGCATACCTCCACCAGTGCGAAGGACCAATTAGGACCTGTTGGACGCTATAAGACATTTCTGAACAATACCGCCTTTATTTTGATTTCTTGTAAAAGAGAATTGTAAGGCAGAATGCTGTCAAAGCAGAAACACTGGTGCAAACTGCTTGCTGTCAGAAGTTACACAAATAATGTGGACACAAAGGTGGATACATTTAGAGAACTTCTAAATGTATAATATTGTACAGCAAACAATCTAATGTACAGTACACAAGACTAATTAATAAGGCCTTGGGCTTCTCTTAATCGCTTATGTACTTATTACTGCACTTAAGCACTTACCTAATTTCTGAGATAAACTGACAGCTTAGAGTCTATACCGGATGCACAGACAAGAATCGCAGAAGTCTTTGTAGATAGTATAATTGTTCAACCGGAGTATTCAGCACAACAGACTTGTCATGTTTTTGTAATAATGCCCCCTTTCCTCTCATTTGTCCTTATCTGGTTTAAGCCTGATGGTGAGACAGCGTCAGATCAAGGAGGGAAACAGAGAACACAAATGACATGTCGTCAAGTCAGATAAGAGCCTCTATGTCTAAGTGCACTGTGTGTGTGTGTTTGTTTTGTGTGTGTGCGTGTTTGTGTGTGTTTGTATGTGTGTGTGTGTTTGTGTGTGTTTGTGTGTGTTTGTGCGTGTTTGTGCGTGTTTGTGTGTGAGTGGATGGCGTAGGGGAGTCTGGCTCCCTGATTGCCTTTGCCAGGCTTCCCACATTAAAGTGGCCTCTGCCCCAGGGAAGAGTGGCTTGACTCCATGGCAGCATCAGAGGTTATGAATATGGTGAGGAACAGAGGAAGCGAGGGGTTTAGGTGAAAAGGGGCCGCAGAAATGTCTCTGGCGTGACTCCAAGTGTCCACACACTTGTTCTCCCTGCTTTGTGCTCTGAACATGCAAAGACAGACATGTGGCTCATTTTGTCCTGAGCACATGTTCAGAAGTGTGGACCGCACAGAGGTAGCCCCTAACCTCCCTGCCCCCATCTCCCGTTCCTCTTCCCCTCTCAGCTTTAATTGAGAAGACAAATGGATCTTTCAGAGCCCACTAGCATGCCACCATACATCAGTCATGACAATGTTAGCTTTATAACGGTGGGCCTGCCGTGAGCTGAGCCATATGTTGGGCCTGCACCACACGCAGCAGCAGACACCTCAGTACAATCCTAATGGCGCCTCACTAATTGATGTTGTTTTATGATTAAAGCTAATTTAGACACTAATGGAATTGGTCCAGGGTTGTGTACCAGCTCCACCCACAGAACACTGCTGCACAATTTCTTAGAGACATCCAGTATTTTGTTATTGAATAAAATGCAATCCAGAGTGATGAGACATGGTGGAGAGGAAGGATAGATATTTTATGTTTCTGTTATTGTTTTAAATACATTTTCATTGATGTAAAAGACTATGAGTATTATGGGACAGCTTTGCCTTGAACCAGCACTCCCCTGGTAAAACTGTGGATTCTCAGAGATAATGATTTACTGCAGGCTGGACACAGAGTTATGTGGACGTGATAACTGTGAATTACGCTCTTCATAAAGTACCATATTAAGTACTGTAACTGCAATGTACAGCTGAGAATGTCACAAAGAAATGTACACCATGTGAATCTGCTTTAGATATTCCATACGTTGACAAATTGTTTTGTACTTTTTAAATGTTGAACTGGTGGACAATAATCTGTGCTATTCAAGAGTCTGCCCTCATGTGAGTTTGTGTGACCCTGTTGGTAAACTTTCCCCTTCTTGCTCCCATGATAGTTGAGCCTGGCGTTGTGCGTGCCTATTCTGTGACTGGACATCTCTCATCTGAGGCCAAAAACACCATAATAACAGTCTTTTCCCCATAGCTGATTCACTCCACTAAAAACTCTACCCACAAGTGACAAAGGCCGTTCTCAAGGGCCATCCCTCCCTCAGTTTTTCACATCACAGCCCTTGGCATTACAAATTCTTTTTTCAGTGACAAATTAAATCTCTCTCTCTTTTTCTCTTGTGTTCCCAGCAGCTTGTGAATACTGGCCAGTTTTTTTATCAGAGGGCTTCCAGCGGAGCTGCAGCACAGCCTTCCCAGGAGAGGAGGCTACAGGAAGTCGTAGGATGATAAAACTGGGACATTACTAAGCCAGCCCAGGACCCCGGGGTTCATTACTCCCCCCTTCAGTCTCACAGCTTCACACAGCACCACCTAATATTCACAGTAAGTAAAATATCTGGAGAAATCGTCTGGTGAAGATTTAATGTTGGAAAGTTACACTGAATAGTTGCTTCAAATGAATTACTCAGCATTCTGCCAAGCGCCGGGAGTGGCTGTAGAGAGGAGGACATAAGAATTAAACCAGCTGCCTCCCCAAGTGACGTCACACAACACTAGAGCACAGCACTGATGTAGATCCCCAAGAATAGACTGTGAAAATATGAAGTAGTGGCCGGCTGAGAAATAATTGGCCCTGATGGTCTTGTACAAAGTGATGACAGCTGATGGACAGAGAGCAGCTGGGACTGACAGATACAACCAGCAACATGTAGCAGTGAGCGAGCTGCTGACAGAAAACAGGAGAGCCAAACGCAAGCAGACAAGGACATTAGCGGACAAGATTCAATTTGTACACATTTGCATCATGATATAAGAGATAATTGCTTCAAAACAACACTTAGTTATTTTGAAGACTGTGCAGAGGAATACAAATAAATCAAATAATCTCAAGGAGCATTACATAGATCAATAATATTTCGTGAAACTTTATTATATTATATAGAATACACTTCTATACAGTTCTTTTTTTTTTCTATTCTTTTTTTTTTTTTTTTTTGATCAAATGACTATCAAAAGTTAAAAACTTTGTGTTTGCAGCAACATCCCAAATGTCCATAGAGATACATTCTGGAAAGGTAGAAAAACTAAACAAGAGCCATGGAATAACCAAATAAGCCCCTGGTCACTACTTTGTTTATTCACATTATAAAGTCAGAATACTTTTTGAATAAATGTTGTTATGTATTTAGCACCTTAAAATCTTCATTGGCTCACTGGGATTTCTCTGAGATGTGACAGTACAATCCCAAGTTAAGAGTCTAGTATTGCTAATATAATTAATCTGGTTCACCATTTGTGAATTTACTTAGAGATTTCTTATGGCAATACCATTACATGGTATGCCCCCCCCCCCCCCCCCCCCATCTGGGAGTATGACATCATTACATTCACATCACAAAACCACCAACGTAGCATCCATTTTCCCAGTAACAGTCAGATTTTATTGTCATTTACCAGTGTGCTCGTCCTTGTAGTAAGTGCGTCTATAAAATATTTCTGGTTGCGTCTGACATTCCACAGCCAATTCAGAGAGAGAGAGCCAGATGACCCTGTATGCTCCCAGGACCCAGTGTTCCCCTCCCTGTTCATACCAGCACATCAGCCTTGCAACTTCCTTATCTGCTCACTACTCAATTACCCCGCACTGCACTCTGGGCATTTGGAGGAGCAGAGCAGAACAGAGCAGAGCAGGAGAGAGACCTGGGCAACTGGTCCCCCATGGACTCTGATACACAAGTTTACTAAGATAAGATAGTAACTACAACTAGGCAGGGGACAGTAAACAATAATATTGTTTATTGTGATAAAAATGGTGGACAATAATCATTCATGGGACATTTTCTATAACTGTCAGCAGCTTTCATATTTATTCTGACATAATCATTAATCGCAATTATTCCTGCCGTGATAATTGTGACACCAAATGTCTTTATCATCCCATGCCTAACTACAACTAGATTATTCTGTACAGCACTATAGATTGGAGAAGAAAGGGTCTGCACACTAAAAGCACAAGAAATATTTAAGTATTAGATAATCAAGCAAGAGTGTGTTGTGACTAATAGAGGTGGATTCAAAGGATTTATGATGAAACAATAATGTTATTGTATTATTTAATAAGTCTTGATGCAAGATTTAACTGTGACTGTTCATCAGAGTGCTGGATAAAGAATCGTTACCCATATACTAAACACTACCGAGATTAGAATCAACAGTATCTACTCATATGAGCAGGTATCAATACTGTAAAAAATACACAAATATTGAAAGTTGGACCTAGTCTTGATCTATATCATAAGACCGCATGATACTACTGAATAAACTATGGTTTTATATTAAAAAATATAAAATTCTGCATTTTACTAGCAACTAGCAACTGAAGTTAGAATTTGAACTAAACCATTTGCAACGCGTATTTACACTTCAACATTGTTCAAACTGGCTAATCATGGCACTTTGGAGATAGACTCGTGAGTTTGTCAGCACCTCAGCCTTATATACTCACAGACAGGATCTCCTCACCTGTCCATCAGTCCCTGCAGCACTCTCTCTGTGTGTGAGTACAAGTTTATCAGTCTCATTAGAGGGAGAAGGTGTTGAGAGTGGAGCCAGCTGTGACTCACACGCCTCTGACAAGAAATCAGACACAGAGAGTTCAGTCTGTGAAGTCTGTCTGGAGCTCCCAACAGCCCAATACAGAATCAAAAACAATAATATAATTGAGATGGAATGTTTCAAGTGCCTGTATAAATCAAATAAAAAATTAAGCTCTTTTTAATATTGAAAAGAGAAGTCTCAGAGCAAAAAAGTTGGGGAGTAATGAGGAGACGTGTATGTATTGTACTGTACTGTAGTGTATGTTATAGCATGATGTGCGTGGATCTCATGTTCAACCCTCTATGCCTCAATGTTCTCCAGGCCCTGGCTTTCTTCATGTGTGTTCCACGTGTTCAGGCCACATTTCTGCAAATATTTACATGGGGTGTAAAACGCTCTTGATCTGTCTCTGCTGTTTATTCTTCTGCTCTTTCTCTCCATGACTCTCGCACACTGACCTTTTTTCAGTCTGACAGAGTGACAGAGGGGAGGGACCAGGACACGCTGTGGAGCACTGAGTGAGGTACAGAGGAGTGGACAGAAGAGGTGGGGGTGTGGACAGAGCCATTGGTTGAGGGTGATGGATGACTTGTCATCTTCCAGAAATCAAAAGCCCAATCTAGCAAGCCCTCTTTTAGCAAAAGCACACAATGCAGTCGTGCAATGAGGCCCATTGGGCTAATTGTGGAGTAATTTGACATCTGTTGACGTCTGAGAAACGTGTTAGCTACTACTGACAGAGCGAAGCCGAGGCTGGTGTTGTAATGAGCGCGGGCTTGATTTCTAAATGAGGCACATGCCACTGACTGCCGCGCACACCCTCTGAGTGGAACAAAAACACTGCTCCAGTTACAAGAGAACTAGTACATTTGTGGTCTTTGTCATCAGCTGTGCTACATTTGCAGCTGCCTGATCAATGGGCTTTGTGTAATGATATTTAACCCCAAACATGAAGTAATGCAGGCTCAAACAAATGGGATTTACCTCTGGGTGGCCTATTCGACTCACACATTAATAAGAGTCTTATCTTTGTGGTCTTTTGTCCAGCAAACTAAGAAAACAAGTAAAGAAGGGGCTAATGCGAGGATGAGCAAAATGTATTTAGTGAGATGCTTTCCACCTGTTTGATCGCTACAATCTCACTACAGAATTCATGGCCTTTTGAGGTCTAATCCATGGACCATCCTTCTTCTATTGACATGCTGGAGCTGTTCACAGGATGCTAACAAGTGTCCAGCTGCAATGAGTCCTTCAACTTCACCTTCACATTCCTCCCAGTGCAGGCTGTGGCCCATTGCTCCATGTGGAGGAGAAAAGGGCTGAGCTGGATTCCTGTGCAGTGCATTGGCACAGTGTGTGGAAGAGGCCTAAGGATCATTAGTGCGGCTGGCATGAGACTGGGAGATCTGCTAACACTCTGCTACGATTCCGCTTTTCTCTCATTCTAATCACAGCAGCAGCCTGATTCCCTTTTAAATGGCACCTGTCAAAATAGAAAAATGGAAGACAGCACCAGCCAGCTCCAAGTCAGTGCTTATAAATACATTTACACGCCACTTGTAAAACCTTGTGTCCGCCAAAGTCTTGAGAAATAATGTGAGTAAAATGATTCAACCTCAAAAGCAACAAAAACAGCACGCACAAACAAAACTAAAGTGGAAACTGTTGGAGTTAACACTGAAAAGGTTGTCCTCTGGGTGCACCAGCAGATGACATCACAGCCCCCCAACTTCCATTAGGCCTAATAAATGAAGGGCTAACGAGGCTGAGTGGGTGGGGAAAATGGCGGAGATGAAGAGGTTTGGTGTGATGTTGGTGTCCTGCCACCCCCAGTTCTGTCAGCCCTATCAGCAGCACTTTGAGCGGTGAAGGGAGTACAGAGCAAAGCAAAGAGGCTAAAACAACCTCTCGGCCCATTAGAGAAATCAGGCCGGGACTCTAAAAACAGCCTGAGAGCAGAGAGGCGAGTGGCCCTGGTGTAAACATTCGGTGGGTGGCAGCCCCCAAGCACTCTGACAGCCAACGGCGGCCATGATGGATCTGTGGAGTTATCTCATTTTCCACTGTTTTAATTAGAGGCCAGGCAGTGAGCCTCAGCAGCTGGCTTTGCTGTACGGACTTCTGCAGCCTGACAAAGAAAAATGTTCACTGATACACCAGCCAAGTTCACCCTGACCAGTGAGAAGAGTGCAAAACACTCCTTCACTGGAGCAGCAGGTTACTATTCAATCAATATACATACTATTCAATCAATATACATTTTAAGCTCCTCCTTGATGCTTATTTAATGTTTTTACTTGATACATTTAAATCACAGAGCAACAAAAGCATCTACAATTACAGCTAATTAGAGCCAGCATCTGATGACAATGACAGGATGAGAGAAGAATCAGGTCTCTGTAAAATGATGTGGACCACAACCAAAGTCAAACCTGTGATTCAGAGGCCTTTAAACCCTGTAATCCTTTATCCTACTTCTGTCTTTTGTAAGCATATGCAGAAATATAATATATCACTATGTACTTAAGTGGAGATCATTAACAATAATCAAAAACCTAAAAGCTACCTGGTAAATATTTGGAGAATTCTGATCATTTTGTATTTGTTGGAAAATACTTCAATAGCGTTGAACATTACAGCCTATAATTAGCTTACAGCAAATTTTTGGGTTAATGTTTGCTTTGATAATTTTGGTAATTCTAAAGTACACAATATGTCACTTAACAGACAGTCAGTGGCAAAGTGGTAATACAATTTAGAAGTATGCATCATTAACATTTAGTATATCCATAGAAAATACAATCAGTCAGAAAGTTTTTAATTCAAGTTTGGGGAAATGCAGGTGTAATTTACAAAGATTATTTAGTTAGTTTCATTAAATATTGGGAAAAAAGTATTTTTAAATGTGTGTCTAACATCTCTGTGTTCTGTTTTGTTTTTG